TTAGCACTTCTTTCTGATGTCTTCCTAATGCCTAGCTCTTGACTACTTTCCTTATGCTGAAAAAGGAACTAGTTCAGTTCTGAAACTTAGTTATGCCATCCTGATTTCTTTCTTCTGCCTTTAAAAATTTAAGAGTAACTTTACACTTTTAAAATAAAATGAGTATCTTGATAGTCCTCAAATTCATAAGGCTGTAATGTAAGACTCTGTATTCATTCAGTTATTGACTAATCCTTGCATGCCTTTGAGATTTAAGGCATTGTAGTGTTTGGACAAGATAAATGTGCCCTGTTGGAGCTTATGACCTAACAGGGAAATAAGATATACTCCATTTAGGCTCCCTCAACACACACCAGATCCACACACTCATTGTCTCCACAGTTTCAATATCAGTTTCAAAGATGTTTTTGTATTAGAGTCAATCTCAGTCACCTACTGACCCTGACTCTCCCTCCTGTAATTTTAGTCCTTCCCATATTGGTCCCAGAAGAGTATTTTTCTTGTGTGACAGCTTTAGAGTCACCTGAACAAGTGGGTGGTGTCAACTCTTTTGCCTTAACTGCTCATGAGTAGTTAGATGGTTCATCTATGTGGGAGAGTTTCCTAGGTATATAAGCAGGAGGTTGAGTGGGGTGAGAAGTATAATGTTTTGGAAGAAATAAAAGCATTTGACTCATTTTAAGGAATTATCCAAAATAAAGGAATAATTAAAAATATGGCTATTAGTATTAATGAATGTAATCAACCAAATTTAGAAGTCACATTTGTCACATTATTAAACCCAGAGTAGGCTGCAAAGAGTATGAGTTTTGAAAGTAGCAGAGTCGTGTTCAAATTCTGCTCTGCTATTTTCTATCTATATAGACTTAGACCAATAACTTACACCTGTAAGCCTGTATTCTCACCTCTGCAAAATGGAGATAGCGATATCCACTTTTCAGAATGATATGAAGATTAAGTGAGCCAATCTATACCACAGTTCTTAGTCCTGTGCCCCAAATGCTGATTCTCTCTCTGTCTTTTCCTCTACTTTTCTTTGGAGAATTACGCCTATATTTTATTTTAGTCTGTCCTTTTTTTCCCCTTGTTCTTGGCTTTTCTCATTGTTTTTGTTCTTATTTTTTCTGGCTGATCTTGTCTCTTTGGTTTCCCTCATTTTCCTCTCTGTGGATGTTTGTTTTGCCTGTGTTTATTTTTCCATCATGAACTTTCCTTGAGTTCCTTTCTCATTTGCCTTTTTGCAGGCGTCTTTTGTTTTACCTGGGGCTCTAAGCCCTTTGCACGTTGATGTCAACACTGATTGCTGATTTTGGACTTTGTTGGAGAAAGGGGGTGGAAGGTGTGGGAAGACAGCTCTTAAGGGGCCTAGAGAAAGGATATTGGGAAGTTGAAGTGGTTAGTTGCTTGGCTATACATATTTTGCAGACATACATTTCAGTTCCTGGCCAGAAGTCTGATGGTTTTTCCCACAGGTCCTCAGGGTTTTTGAATCCGCCCCGATTTCACTTTCCTTCCCCCCTCCCTCTTTCTCTGCCCAGTTTTAGTGGAGCTCAGTTTTCCCCTCCTCAGCTTCCTGTTGCCTTGCTTTCTCTGAAACATGTTTTACCTATTACTGATCTTCTTTGCCGTTTCACTTATGTGGAACACCCACTTGGAAGCAGGGTTGTTTCTTAAGAGCAGGAGGTCATTACTGATAATGGCAGTAATAGTTGCCTATGATGCACACAAAGCCAAAAACAGGACAGCAGGAACTCATAACCCTGATTAATTGGGACAGATTCTGAATGTAGCCCAGAGAATCCAAAGGATAGAAACAAACTAAGTGAGTGGTGGATGTTGTCAGGAGGGACATGCCAGGGAGTATATCTTGCATTTTAATTTTCAAAAACATTTACTCATCTTCTATCCTGGGCCAAGCAATGAGCTAGACTCTGGGTATAACTTGATGAACAATATAAGAAAAGTTCTGCCTTTAATCACTTTTAATGGTTCCAGTTATGCTCTAAGCAGAATCTCCCTGCAATTCGTATCTATGATTTTAAATTTGGGACTACCTTTCTGTCTTGGGAGACATCATGGAAGGAAATCTGAGACTTGAGTGGCAACAATGGATCTTGAGGTGCTTGTGGGCAATGGTTGGTGGCACATCACAATTATCTGTCACATGTCCCTAGTATTTTTATCAAGAAAAATTTAAGCAAAAGTAGTGTTAATGCCAGAATAAGTGCTTATCACCCATGACTCAGCTTCAGTTATTAATATATTGTCAATCTTGCTATTTTTCTCCTCTTCTCCAGTATTTTCTTGGAATATTTTAGTGAAAATTCCAGACATCATGTCATTTCCTCTTTATTTCAGCATGCTTCTCAAGCAGGGAAGAATTTTTTTTTTTTTTTAAAACATAACTACCATGCCATTATTACATGTAACAAAATCAATAGTAAAATATGTTTTTGTTTTTGAGGCAGTGTCTTGCTCTTGTCTTTCAGGCTGGAGTGCAATGACGTGATCTTGGCTCACTGCAACCTCTGGGGTTCAAGTGATTCTCCTGCCTCAGCTTCCTGAGTAGGTGAGATTACAGGAGCATGCCACCACTCTCAGCTAATTTTCCTATTTTTAGTAGAGATGGGGTTCCATCATGTTGGCCAGGCTGGTCTCAAACTCTTGGCCTCAGGTCATCCACTTACCTTAACCTCCCACAGTGTTGGGATTACAGACGTGAGATACTGCATCCAGCCTATAGTAATTCTGTGCTGTTAGCTAGTACTCAGTCCACATGAACAGTTCCCCAGTTATCTCAAAGATGCCTTTAAAAAAAAAAAGTTATCTTTATTTTTTTATCTTCTGGAGATGGAGTCTTGCTCTATTGCCCAGGCTGAAGTGCAGTGGTGCAATCTCACCTCACTGCAACCGCCATCTCATAAGTTCAAACAATTCTCCTGCCTCAGCCTCCCAAGAAGCTGGGACTACAGGTTCATGTCACCATGCCTGGCTAATTTTTGTACTTTTAGTAGAGACAGGGTTTTGCCATGTTGTCCAGGGTGGTCTTGAGCTCCTGAGCTCAGACAATCCACCTGCATTAGCCTCCCAAAGTGCTAGGATTACAGGTGTGAGTCACTGTGCCTGGCCTCAAAAGTGCCTTTTTATAGTTGGTCTGTGTGCACTGGGATCAAAGCAAAGCACACATATTACTATTGGTGATTCTGCCTTTTAATCTCTCATTTTGTAATTATAATCCCCCTTCCATTTTTTCTCCCACACCATTGATTTCTGTAGAAGTTTGGTGTAGTGGGTATGCTGCCCAGATCCCTTCTGTATGATCGGAGCATTCATGTCATAGCTGTCAGGACTGTGGGCAGCTGAAGGCCCACAGCATGTATCTGGTTGTTTTTGGGGTAAAAATGCCTGGCTTTCTTCCCCAACTTGGAAGAACTCTGAAGGATCATTCCAACTTGGGAGCTCACCGTGAGATTGCCTGAGACCTGTGTTGTGACTGCACCAGTTCAATTTCTTCCTGTTCTCAACCCTATTTTCCTCACTCCTTTTAAGGTATGTTCTTGAGGCTACTCCCATTAAAATTTCTGAACACAGTCTCCTTGTCAAGGTCTGTTTCCTAGGAAACCTGACCTAAACAGTTAACACCAGGGGTGATTCTAGCAAGCAGAATCTAACATGGGATGTTGGACCTGAATCACCTGCTTGCCAGCTGGCAATACAAAACATCATTAGTGGTAGCTGGTGGAGTACCCATAGCTCTGGTGTGGTGTAGGGGTGCAATTTAAAACAATCACTGGTGGTGAACTAGGATGGGACACCATGGAAGGGAAAGAACTGCCAAGGATGATATCACAGGCATTTGATAGGTTGGAGGGAAGTAGCAAGCATAAAGACTATGGGAGCTTGGATGGCTGTTGCTAGGGGCTGCTGATACATTGAACAAAGACAGTGAAAGCATGAAGATGATTAATCACCAGAGGGCTTCCTCAGCAGCCTATAAAGGAATGTGTTCCTCTTGTAGCCAGAGGGAAGAAGCAGCAGATGATCAGATCTGGGACTTTATAAGGGTAACATAGCTGTAGAGAAGACTGAATTTTTATGTCTGGCAAATGTGCTATGCCAAGGTCAGGCCCCAGTTGGAAAAAAGTGAGGTCCTAAGACTGAGGAAGGAATACCTGGATCAGTGCATTGGAAAACATTGAATCACCAGATTTCCCTGAACCTTTTGGGCTCATAGAAATGATTAACTTTTCTCTGTAAAGCTTAACTCTCCTCTTGCTTGAAAAAGATGCAGACATCTCTGTCTTATAACACAACACATAGTGTAGTCTGAAGGGACTTGAATCAACTAGGAATTCTTCAGAACATTGTACTGGCACACTATTTGATGACGATGAACAGTAAGTCCTTAGAGACTGATATGGATTGGCTGTGTCCCCACCCAAATCTCATCTTGAATTATAGTTCCCCAAATCCCCATATGTCATGGGAGGGACCTGGTGGGAGGTAATGTAATTGGGGCAGTTACCCTTATGCTGTTCTCATGATAGTGAGTGAGTGCTCATGTGATCTGATGGTTTTATAAAGGGCGTTTGCCCCTTTTGCTCAGAAGTTCTCCTTGCTGCCACCATGTGAAGGAGGACATGTTTGCTTCCCCTTCTGCCATGATTATAAGTTTCTTGAGGCCTCTCTAGTCATGCTGAACTGAGAGTCAATTAAACTTCTTTTTTTTTTTTTTTAAATTATCCAGTCTCGGGTTGTCTTTATTAGCAGCATGAGAACAGACTAATACAGTAAATTGGTACTGGGTAGTGGGGTGCTGCTGTAATTTTTTTTTTTTTTTTTTTTTACAAAATAATTTCAGTTTTTTTTATTCCTGGGATTATTTATTTCAAGAGACAGTTTCTCTGTTGCCCAGGCTGGAGTGCAATGGCATGATCTCAGCTCACTGCAACCACCACCTCCCAGGTTCAAGTGATTACCCTGCCTCAGCTTCCCGAGTAACTGGGACTACAGGTGTGTGCCACCAAACCCAGTTAATATTTGTATTTTTAGTAGAGATGGGGGTTTCACTATGTTAGCCAGGCTGGTCTATAACTCTTGACTTCAGGTGCTTCACCTGCCTTGGCTTCCTAAAGTGCTGGGATTACAGGTGTGAGCCACCATTCCTGGCCATTCCTGGGATGATTTAATAAGTCATTTTTGCAGCTTTGCTATTGTAGCAGGGTCTTTCTGTCAGAGATGGTATATACTCTTGTCAATTCAGAGCTTCCATTTTTCATTAAAATGAGTTCTACTTCCTGAAAGTCCCGCAGTCTTCGAATGTCTTGGTCCTTTCTGAGCAGGGTGTTTGGTAGCTTTCTGATCTTCTCCACTTGCTCTGGGTTAATCCCCAGTTCACAGCAACTCACTTTTAGTAAATTTTGGTAACTCAGTTCTTGTCTCTTCAGTTTAATTTCAATGAAGTCATTTTCTTTGGGGCTCTGAATTCTGACTTTAAGCACCAGCTCTAGACAGGTGTCACTGGGTTTGTTGTTATCACTCGGGTCCATTGGCAAGTGTGGATTTGTGCCTTCTTGTTTATCTTTACCTGCTGGCTTCTCCCTGATGTCCTGTTCCGGTTCAGCCATGAGTCGCCTCTACAGTCTGTCAGATGTGCAGCCTCTCTCGCATTTATTCACAATCTCCCAGCCAAATAAAAAGCACTTTCTAAAGCCTCAGCACATCTGTCTGGCTCCCAGGCTGACGCTGCCTTCTCAGCATGCTGGCGTGTCTTTCTTCAAGAACCAGGGCAGGTGGGGGCAATGGAAAGGCAGAAGTAGCAGGGATCCCCTGGACTGGGAGCACATTTTTTTGTAAATGTGGAAGCGACTTTGGAACTGGGTAACAGGCAAAGATTGAAGCAGTTTGGAGGGCTCAGAAGAAGACAGGAAAATGTGAGAAAGTTTGGAACTTCCTAGAGAATTGGAGGTCTCAGGAGAATGCAGGAAGATGTGGGAAAGTTTGGAACTTCTTAGAGACTTGTGATGGCTTGACCAAAATGCTGATAGTGATATGGACAATGAAGTCCAGGTTGAGGTGATCTCAGATGGAAATGAGAAACTTTTTGGGAACTGGAATAAAGGTCACTCTTGCAATGGAAAGAGACTAGTGACATTTTGCCCCTGCTCTAGAGATCTGTGGAACTTTGAACTTGACAGAGATGATTTAAGGTATCTGGTGGAAGACATTTCTAAATGTCAAAGGGTTCAAGATGAAGCAGAGCATTAAAAGTTTGAAAAATCTGCAGGCTGATGATGCAATAGGAAAGAAAAACCCATTTTTCTGGAGAGAAATTCAAGCTGGCTGCAGAAATTTGCATAAGCAGTGAGGAGCCAAATGTTAATCACAAAAGCAATCAGGAAGATCTCTCTCTGGGACATGTCAGAGACCTTCACAGCTGCCTCTCCCATCACAGGCCTGGAGACCTAGGAGGGAAAAATGGTCTTGTGGGCTGGCCCAGGGCCTCCCTGCTCTATGCAGCCTCAAGACATGGTGCCCTGTGACCCAACTGCTTCAGCTAGGGACCAATGTACAGCTCTGGCTACATATATAGCTCAGGCCATTGCCTCAGAGGGTGCGAGACCTGAGCCTTGGAGGCTTATATGTGGTGTTGAAACTGTCAGTACACAGAAGTCAAGAACTGAGGTTTGGGAACCTCTGTCTAGATTTCAGAGAAGGTATAGAAATGCCTGGATGTCCTGGTAGAAGTTTGCTGCAGGGGCGGAGCCCTCATGGAAAACTTCTGTTGAGGCAGTGTGGAAAGGAAATGTGACGTTAGAGACCCCAAACAGAGTCTTCACTGGGGCACTGCCTGGTGGAGCTATGAGAAAAGGGCCACAATCCTGCCTGGTGGAGCTATGAGAAAAGGGCCACCATCTTCCAGACCACAGAAGGGTAGATCCACTGACAGCTTGCACTGTGTTCCTGGAAATGACACAGGCACTCAACACCAGCCTGTGAAAGCAGCTGGGAGGGGTTAGGGGGAAGCTGTTCCTTGAAAAGCCACAGGAACAGAGCTCTCCAATGCTGTGGGAGCCTACCTCTTGCATCAGCATGCCCTGGATGTGAGACATGGAGTCAAAAGAGATTTTTTTTTGGAACTTTAAGATTTAATAACTGCCCTATTAGATTTCAGATTTGCATGGGGGCTGTTGCACCTTTGTTGTGACCAATTTCCCCCATTTGGAATGGGTGTATTTACTCAATACCTGTACCTCCATTGTATCTAGGAAGTAACTAACTTGCTTTTGCTTTTATAGGTGCATAGGTGGAAAGGACTAGCCGTGTCTCAGATAAGACTATGGACTTGGACTTTTGGGTTAATGCCATAATGAGTTAAGGCTTTGGGGAACTGTTGAGAAGGGCATAATTGTGTTTTGAAATGTGAGAACATGCAACTTAGGAGGGGCCAGGAGCAGAATGATATGGTTTGGTTGTGTCCCCACCCAAATCTCATTTTGAATTATAGTTCCCATAATCCCCATGTATCATGGGAGGGACCTGGTGGGAGGTAATTTAATCATGGGGGTGGTTATCCCCAGTTGCTGTTCTCATGCTAGTGAGTGAGTTCCCACAAGATGTGATGGTTTTTCCCATCTTTTGTTCAAACAAAAAGTGGCTTTTCCCCCTTTTGTTCAGCACTTCTCCTTCCTGCCATCATGTGAAGAAAGATGTGTTTGCTTCCCCTTCTGCCATGATTGTAAGTTTCCTGAGGCCTCCCCACCCATACTGAACTGTGAGCCAATTAAACCTCTTTCCCTTATAAATTGCTCAGTCTCAGGTATGTTTTTATTAGCAGCATAAGAACAGACTAATACAGAGACCTTGTTAAAGACATCTGCACCCCAGAAGGTGGGAGATAATCCCTATAAACATTCAAAGGTCCACCACATCTGTGAAATTTTAAGGATCTCAGTAGTCTGGGCACGCCAGGACATTTTCTCCAAAGTAAAGAACAAATTATAGTATCTTCCACCTCCTGCTACTAAAAAGGAAGCAAAACACTTGATAAGTCACTCTGGTTTCTTAGGGACAGTATATTCTACACTTAGGAATACTACTTTGATCATTTGCTAAATGCCATGGAATATTTCCAGATTTGATAGGGTACTAGAGAAGGAAAGGGGTTTGTAGCAGGTCCAGGCTGTGGCAAAAGCAGCCCTGCCACTTGGGCCATGTGACCTGCAGATTGTGGTACTGAAAGTATCTACAGTGGGTAAAGGTGTGTATGACAAGCTCCAGTAGAAAAATCACACATAGATGCTCAGGGTTCTGGTTCAAGGTCATGCCCTTTGCAGGAGAGAACTACACACCAATCACAAACACAGCTCCCTTAAGCTACTGGCTCCGGCTACTGCTGGAGTATCTAATGACCTTGTGGTCAGAGCTGGATTTTGTCAGAACCACCAAGTCATAAGATTTTGTGAGCCCTTAAGGAATTAATTGTAAATTGGAAGCAGTGCATCTGGGATGGGACATGCATGGGTAAGGGAGCACAGATAAGCTGCAAGAGCAGGTAGCCAGAGTCTGTGCCTGGTCCTATTTTTTAATTAGTAAGTATAAGCAAGGTCATCATGAGAGTACAATGGCCTGGCTTCTGCCCTGTGTGTAGGATATCTTGGAATGGCTAGAGCACCCTGTGGGGTTGGTCAAGTTCTCCATTGCAACTGTGCTGCAGTTTAACTTCTCCCTTTGCCCAATCTTGTTTGCCTCTTTTTCTTATAGGTATATTACCTGAGATCACTTTCCAATAAATCTCCTGCACGTGGCTTTTTGTCTCAAAGTCTGTTTGTTAGAGAACTCTACCTAAGACATTAGATCATTCATTCCATAGAATGTCTGGCTGATGTTTCCTTGTAGTGTGGTTTTGAAGTTACTTGTTTTTCTATCCCTTTGTTTCCTGTAAAGATGTGGTTGTAGCCAGAGACTTCAAGTAGATTCAGGTGGTAAAGTGTGAATACATCACATTTCAAAGCATAAAATGTCCAGATATCTCACTTTTGGTAATGCTAATATTGATTGGTAGGTTCAGGTATTGTCAGCCTGATTTCTCCAATGTAAGTTCTTTTTATAGCCCTATTTTTTTTCATTTTCCCTTATTCTTTTCATTTTTAATTTTTGTTTCCTCCTCTCCTCTTTTCACCCCTTCCTTCTGTATGTCTCACATTTCCCAGTGGCACCATGTTTGTTGGTATGGAATAACTCAGGGCTCTTGTGATTGCTGGTAACTTGACCTCTTGAAAAAGAGGAAGAATAGCTGACCAGAGAGAAAGAAAATGGTTAGCTTTTATGTTCAAGTCATTGAGTATCTTACTCTAACTCTGTAAAAATGAGTTTTTGTTTGTTCTTGGAGTGAATGAGAAGGGTGAGTTTGTACTGGATATGGATGACCATTTCATACTCTATCATCACAAAACATCCTTTCCCTTCCTGCCCTCTACCTTCTCAAAGAATCATTATTGGCATGATCCAGTGCTCACATTTTATTGAAGTGTGATGGTACTTGCTGAAATGATCAATTATTCTGGTATGTCAAATGAAAGGAAAGGGGAAAGGTCTGGTGTCCTCTTTTTAGGATCTCTCTTCCCTTGTATGATAATGCATAGCTGGCATCTGAAGATAATGCTTCTATTTTTATTATCTCATCAAAAGAATAACTGCAGGGATGGGAATTCGTAATCGAGGAAGGTGGAAACACTTTGCCAAGCCATGGCGGCAGCTTTTTGGTAGGCATGGCTTTGAGTGTTGTGACCACCAATCAACTCGATGGTCTCCAGCTTACTTCATTTACACATGCGGCTAGCCAGAATGCTCACATCCAAAGGCATTAAGGAAGACTGTTCACCTGAAAAGAAAAAAAATTATTTGACAATGACATCTGATCTCTCTCGTGCAATGGGTTATAGTCAGTATCTTAATTAAAAAACATATATTCATTGCCAGTAACAGAAGATAACTGGGAATAGCTTCACCAAAAAGGAAAGGGAAGAAAAAAGATACATTGTGAAATCCAGGGAGAAGCTGAACATTCAATAGGTTTCACAAAAGGAAAGAATCAGAAGGTAGAAAGCTGTTAGAACCGAGGCCACAGTTTCCACTTGGAGTATCTCTCTGTTCACCAGTCTTGAGAGAGAGATTGTGATTGGCTATCTTGCATCAACTGTCCATTCCTAGTCCAATCAGCTATGGTAAAGAGATTTTGGTACAAATATAAGGGGAGGGCAGTTCTTACTGAAGGGAACTTTGAGTTATGGTCTGGACAGATACCCCCAAAGCTAGTCAATATCTGATAAGTATAAGGAATGGAAAAACGATGCGTGGGTGGGTGTGTTTACACAAATACATGCAAATATACAAATGCTGTCATGTATCACTTAAGCATAGGGATACAAGGGACACAATATGAGAAATGCATTGTTGGGTAATTTTTGTCATTGTGTGAACATCATAGAGTATATATACCTGCACCAAGTCTTAGATGGTAATAGTCTACTACACACCTGGAATATGGTATAGCCTATTGCTCCTAGGCTACAAATCTGTAAAGCATGTTACTGTACTGAATAATGTAGGCAATTACAATGCAATGATAAGTATTTGCATATCTAAACATAGAAAAGGTACAGTAGAAATAAGATATAAAAGATAAAAAATGGTACACCTATAGAGGAGCCTTCAAACAGAGCTTGTAGG